TCATGAAAGAGGACTTTGAGATAAAAATATGTAGCAGATTGTAGTTTATATAAAAATAAAACTACATGAGATGATCTAACACGAACCAAATGCTATGCAAAACGTATTATATCATTATAACCTGATTTTCTTACACAGAAATATGCATTTCAAGAAACAATAGAAGAAGCTGATTATATATGCATTTTTATCCTAAATTCTATTATGAATTAAATTTTATTAAACGATATTAGGAAAAGCAAAGCGTTATATTTGAGAAAATTGTAATTATTCTTGGTTAAAATTACAACAAATAGTTTCTATAAGTTTAGAATCAGTGAATCTTATTACAATTTGAAAATTTGCTCAACATGCTTAGCATTATATAGATGTATATAGAAAAGAAATATCAGGTAAATTGGCTGAATATGCAGTAAAAAAATATAAAGATCATAGATAAATTCCTGATTATGTAATTAAAAAATTAAATAAAATTACTTCATAAATTTCAAGGTTCAATATATAAAATATATAAAAAATATATAAATATTATTATCACATGTCTTGAATTTTATTGTTAAATATCATGTGATTGATTACAAAATAGCTTAAAAAATTTCAGAATATTTTTGAGTATAAATGAAATGTACTATAGTAATTCTGAAGAAAACAATTTGGACTGGAATCAAAAAATTGATAAAATTACTTCAGAATTGCAAAATATGATTGATGTACTAAATTTACCAGATCCTATTGCAGCTGAAAAATTTATTCATATTGATGATAAAATACCAATAGAATCATTATTAGATGAAGAAATAATAGATGTGGTAATTTCAAATCCTGAAAAAAATGATATAGAAGAGGAGGAAGAACCAGTAAAAATTAATATTATTACTAACAAAGAAATTTTAAATAGTTTGAAAAGATAATTCGATATTTTAAAAATTCTTCTGATAATATATTAATTAATTATACAGAGTTAAAAATTCTTAGTACTTTAAAATCAAAAATTAATAGATGTATTCAAGGTAACGTAAAGCAATTTATATTAGATAATTTTGTGCAATGTTAAATTTTTGAAATAAAAAATTTTAAAAAAATCGTGTTATAAGAAATTTTTTTTTATTATATAAAATTCACTATAAAGAGATTTTTTGCTATTATGAACATTTTGTTATAGTAAACAAGATCCTATTGCAGCTGAAAAATTTATTCATATTGATGATAAAATACCAATAGGACCATTATCAGATGAAGAAATAATAGATGCAGTAATTTCAAATCCTGAAAAAAATGATATAGAAGAGGAGAAGGAATCAGTAAAAATTAATATTATTACTAACAAAGTAGCTTTAAATAGTTTGAAAAGATAATTCGATATTTTAAAAATTCTCCTGATAATATATTAATTAATTATATAGAGTTAAAAGTTCTTAGTACTTTAAAATCAAAAATTAATAGATGTATTCAAGGTAACGTAAAGCAATCTACATTAGATAATTTTGTGCAATGTTAAATTTTTGAAATAAAAAATTTTAAAATAATAATGTTATAAGAAATTTTTTTTTATTATATAAAATTCACTATAAAGAGATTTTTCACTATTATGAACACTTCGTTATAGTGAACAAATTGAATGGAATTGAGAGTTCACTATAACGAGCTTTGACTGTATATGTTTTTTTCTAGTTAGATATTATAAATCTTTTATATTGCTTTAATATCTTCTTTTCTAATTTTATTAATAATTGATTGTAAAGTAATTTATTAAATTCTATAACTATCTTCAATAAAACTATTATTTTTTTTTTCTAATTCCTAATGTTTAAAATATTAATAATATTATTAATTCAAATTCTAACTTTAATTTTAACCTCTAATACTAACTCTAATTAACTCTCATTCTAACTAATTTCAATTCTAATTTTAATATATCTGCTCAGCTTTTAGCCTCATTGCCCACTTTCAGAAGGCAAATAATATAGCAAACCTTTTTAATAATGAATTTGTTATCATATCTATTTTTGATTAAGTTATAATTTAAAAGGCAAAATTAAAATTGCTTAAAGATATAAGCATTATGCTATTTCTATTTTAATAGTATTTAATATATTTATATATAAATACTTTTTTAATATTTTAACTATAGATAAAAAAAATCTTTATCTATTAATACTGAAATTAAATAAGTAGTTAAAAATCAATATTCATGAAATTTTTCTTATGAATTTCTGTAATAAGCTGTTCAGCTAAACATTTAACAAGCTGATATAAAGTTTAATTATTCTTTTAATAATACTATTCATTCCTTTAACTTATAAAGTACTTTCAATATTAGTAGTAAAAATTGTTATAAATAACATTAAGTTCATGATTTATTAGATAGTCATAATACTTTAACAAGATAATTTTTAGCTAATAAAAATTTTTTAATAAATTATTCTATTAAAAAAAAATAGTGATTCACAAAGGTTATTCTGATATTTGTGTAAAGTCCATTGATAAGTTTCAAAAGTTTTATCACTAATAATAGCTTATACAAGTAATCTTATACGTCCATTATTTTCAATACCAACAAATACACTCAAAGGCATATTATATATATTAATTCTAGCTGTATTATCATTAATTATAATATCATAATACTTAATTCAAAGAATAATTTGTTCAAAAGTCATCCAAAAAAGACAAGTAAGACGATTATTTGTATCTAATTCAAATTCAAAAAAATTTGAGGATTTTCCTGTTTTTTTGAACAAGGCTAATTAAAAGATTTGATGCATCATTATTTATATTGATTCAATTGATAGCTTTAAATCTTTGAATTGCATTTGCCAAATCAGAATCCTTAAAATTGATCTTTTGCCACCAAATTCACAAGTAAAGGTTCTTTTAGTAATAATGAAGATTTGTCCCTTTCCATTCGATATTTATTAATTGCAAAACTATTTCAATATCCATAGTCTTCAAAAAAGTCTTCAACTTCATTCCAAGAAAGAAAAGTTGTATCTAGACTGATATCTTCAGAAGCGATTTTTATACAAGTAAGTATAGTTGCATCATTTGAAATTTCTTGATAAGAATCAACAAAATCATCGGGAGTATCTTCACTTTAATATTCATTTCTTTCATTAGTAATAAAATCGGGTATAGGTATAAAAGGTTCATATTCTTGAAAAAAAGGTTCGTATGATTCTAAGGATTATCATAATTTTCAGTACATAAACGAAAGAATAGGATGATTAATTAAAGTTGTAAATTTTAATAATAATTCTAACCTGATTGGTTTTCGAAGTTATATATATTCATGGCAAAAAAATAAGAGAGCTATTATGATGAACGAAACGTTGAAGGAATAAAACAATTGAGGAAGAATATGAAAAATAAGGTATGGGGGGAGAAGGAAAGAGCAAACAATAACAATCAGTATATAATTTTATCAGTGGCTTAACTAGAGGGCGATTTCATTGATCATCGCTTGGTAATTTTATTGATTAAAGCGTAATTAAATTGCGTCGCGGCATTTATTATATAGTCTATAAAATTTTACAATATAAAAAACAATTACATCATCATTTATAGGGGAATTGAACATTTTTTACAATTTTATGATTTATTTATAGGGATATCGCGACCCGCGATATAAATATTTATTCATATAATAAAGTCCATTAAAGATCAAAATAAAAATATACTTATATTAGAGTATTTTTTTCTATTTGAATACAATATAAACATTATAGAAAATAACATTTTAGTAAATTTTCTCGGTTTATTAAAAATAAAACTGAGAGATAATGTAGAGTGATACATAGCATAGCTAACCTATTTTTATAACTAATCATATAATAATAATTACTTGTTATTCCATACATAAAGTCACATGCGAGTAAGCACATGTGATTAACAAATTAACCAAGTAATCCGTAACAGAAGTATCGATGGATTTTTTGTCTACATACAATTTTCTTTTTTTTCCAGAAGATTCTTTTGTGTAGGTTTATTACATGTCTAAAGAAGTTAAATGGCGTAAATTACAGAAAAGAATCTGTGTATAACTATTATACATCTTTGGCACGATATTTAAATGAAGAGTCAGTAATTAAACCTTGTAAAAATGTAATATATATTATTTGATATTTTGTTTATGTTCTTCAGTTTAATTATATGACAAATTTTACATTTATAAAATCTAAGAAACGACAAGATTTCTAATTCAACGTGAAAAAAAGAAAATCCAAATTGAATATACATCAAAATGTTCAATTCCAAATACAGTTAAAGATATATATTTTCACATTCATAACTAGTAAATTAGATAAATTGAAAATATTATAAATTTAAATACACATTTGAATGAATATAATATATCATGTCATATTATAAACTGGAATAATTGACAAAAAAAATCCATCGGTGTATATACAGTATATTCTATCAAACAATATCATCTAAACTTAATTGATTAATGATATCATCGGTAATTCGATCGTCCGGAATGTGTGTACTGTCGATCATTAAAGTCTTTGAAGCGATTGTTTTTGGCTTATTTGATTGTGTAATTTCAATTAATTTTGTGGTATAAATATTTTCACTTTCCGAGATCTACTGTACGTGTTAGAAAACAAAATTAAATTTTTAGATTGCAATCATTAAACGGGCAGACTATTTTACCAAAAGGTTCGATTCATCCGATTACTTTTTGTTTAATAAAAAATTTCATTATCCTTTATTCGACGACTTGATTAAATGCAAATTCACATGAGAAGTTGTTATAAACTCCTTTACATGTGAAAAAAAGATTCTTTGAAAAAACCCATTCATAAACTTTTAACGTTTTTCTGATCATTAGAAAAGAGATCAGTGATACTAAATCTAAATATGTACAGTAAATTAGGCCGATTATTCTTCCGGACCATTCATTGTTTAAAAAAAAATTAAGTATAAATAAGACAAATTCTTTATTATTTACGCATAATATATACTATTGTATCCCCTATTTTGACGGATATATCAAAATGAGTTACTTATTAAAATTAACCGTAAAAAAGACTCCAATGTTAGTTTCTACAACGATAAATCATTATCGCAAGGGTCCACCTCAACCTTCATGGGATTTAAAATTTCATTTAGCTTTTGCCTTGATTAAATCATTCATCGGTGATCTCATTGATATTACAATTGAGCAGGCACAACAAGGCTCTAAACGTCCCGTTCCTTTATTACCTGATACAATTGCAAATGAGTCCAAGGTAGACAATAAATATAGACATGAATCTCAAATTCATCTTGAGAGAATTTTGAAACCCTATGAA